ACTGATTCCTTGCATGTTCCAACACAAAGTGCCTGCTCATTGAAATGGGCAGGAAAACATTCTAATGGAAGATTCCCCAAAGCAATCCCTGGGAGGGGGCATTTTGAATTTTCTGCCTCGGGTCCCAAAATGGCTCCAATTGGAAGCTGGGGCTACTGCCAGAAATAGTATGAGTCGGTCAGACTTTTCTGCAACTCCCAGGGAAACACCCATTGCCTCTAGTCATTCTCAGGGTTACAGGTACCATCCCAGCATAAATTCCCAGAACTTTTTCTTCTTCTCCTTCTTTAAATACCTTATCTGATTGTCAACTAATTCTTTCATGCTTTGTGCACCGTTAATAAAAGCAGCCATTGCCTGTTTTGCTACAGTTAATTTACTTGATCTCCCAGACAAACGCAGAGGATTGTCTCTGGCATTCTTGACCAGCTTGTCAGTTCAAAAATCTATTTGCAAAGATAAAAGCTCTGTTCTGTATCCTAGGGATACAGTTAAATGATTTATAGGTTATTCATTATGTTATCCATACGACAAAAGGTTGCCTTTGTTAGGTAAAGGCATTCATGTTTCGAACTCAATTGTTGGAAACTGGGGACATTTTTATAGAAAATTTTAGATGCTTCAGCAGCGAAGAATTACCGAATGCCTATGCCCAGCTTCCTTTAAAGGCTCTTTGTCTGCTTGTGTGCTTCACCACAATGTACATGTCTCCAATAGACAGTTCAAGACTTCTATGGTGACATTTTGTTATAGATTACTATACCCACTGTGCCATCTATCATTTACTTCCAAAAATGGTTTAAAAATAGCTTTACCTGTATGACAGTATTCTGAATCAATTAATGGAGATGGTTCATTTTGGAAACTTGGAAAATCCTGAATTTTATTCCACTAAATAGCTACAAATTTGACTGTACAAGTAACATATTCATTTACTTTGTTAAACAGAAATCTCTCCGTATCCATGGATTCAATCATCCACAGTTTGAAAATACCCCCCTCCCTAAAATTCTCAAAAGCAAACCTTGATTTTGGCATTTTATAAAAAGGGATGCCACTTTATTATGCTGTTGTATGGGACTTGAGCATCCACTGTTTTTGATAACCACAGGAGTCCTGAAACCAAACCTCAGTGGATTCCAAGGGCTCATTGTACAAAGATCATGGAATCATAGAGCTGGAAGAGGCCTCATGGGCCATCCAGTCGAACCCGCTGCCAAGAAGCAGGAAAATTACATTCAATGCACCTGTCGCACCTCAGGATAGATTCACCTTGCTCAGAACACCACACACACCAAGGTTGTAGGTTTTGTAATTTATTAAAGAAAAGGTAAAGTCTTAAACACAAAAGTAAAGTTGCAAAAGTTCAATAACCAGACAGAGTCTTAAATGCAAAGGCAGAATTTCCAAAGTCCAGAGGCAAATAACATGAAGCATATTCCATAAACAGTGATCAAACAAGATTCCAAGGCAGCATGACCGAGTCCCAAGAAGCCAAGATCCAAATCAGAGTCCCAAGAAACCAAAAGCATTGCCCAAAAGCCAAGATAATCCAGAGAAGTTATCAGGGTGTTCACTGAAGTTGCACTGACAAAAGCTTGCCTTCAATCAGCTCACTAAATATGCTTTCCCAGCACGAAAGCATTCCTTTGACCTCTAACCTGAGTTTCGGGGGGGGGGCTGAGTCTGAGTGAAAGAGGGTCTACCCTAGCAAACCTTTTGTATCATTACCCCAATACCCCCATGCATATGGGATATATTGAGTATGGTGATCAGATCATGATATGAATAAACATAACAGTTTAAATAATGCACCAGTAAGGCCTTTTTCGCGAACCACCATGAGAATTTCGGGGGGGGGGTGTAGCCCCTCAAGCCCCCCCCCCCCCCCCCCCCCCCCCGGCTACATGCCTGCCCATAAGGGATGTGGAAGTTGGAATTCTCTTGGTGACTTATACTAGCCTAACCAGGGGTCATGCTGGGTTAACAGCTTTTCTGAGCCCAAAGAATCACTCTAATCAATAATTCCATGTTCCAACTTTATCGCAACTGTATTCCTGGATTGCTCAGTTTATTTTCTGCGATGGAGTTTGCAAGTGCTGCACACAGGCTAGACTTCACTCATTTACAAACGCACTGACCAGGAGCAAAATGTGAGCTCTGAATCGTCAAAATTAATTTAAAGCTTAATAAAATGCAAATGCACACCTCAAGGAGTGTTAATATTAAGTGGCTCATTGCAGCCACAAGTGTCGAGCGTTCACAGTTCCCTCGATTTGTTGGCATTCAGCCAGAAGAAAAAAGGGGGAAAAAGAGGAGATTTTTACCTTTTTGTGGATTGAGATGCTTCGTGCCATATTAAAGGCAACCTAATCCATCAAATGCTAATTATCCAAGTGCTTAGGAAAAGGCAGCACTGTAATGTTATTTATAATACGGACAGCTGAGAACCTGAGGGAATCTGCCCAACAAGGTTAGCAGCATGTTTCTAACGATATGTAGAATGTCCAAAAGACAAATTTAAAGAAAAAGAAGTGCTTTTTCATTGAAGGTGCAATCTGACACATGGAGCCAATTTAATGTCAGATGTGGCTTTAAAAATGATCATAAATGAACAGCGAACACAAAAGAATGACTGTATCAGCCACTCTTCTACTAGCCATTACAATGTAATCTTCAGATACGTTAGTGAACGATCCGGTATTAGCCATACCAAGGGACACAGCAACTTATACTGGACATTTTATTTCCTCCCTATTTTTATTTCATCATTTTGGAACCTGCCACCATTGTCTTCCAAGCACAATGGGCTTTTTAGTTGCCTGCCATCTCCAAATTGACCAATATTTGCATGGAACTGAGCAGGAAGACCTTTTTAGCCAATGGGTTGGGGCTTTTTTTAGCAGTTTCACCCAGTCTCTGACATATCCTTTACTACTTTCTTTTCTTCAGTTTTGGAGGATTGGTATGTAAATACTTTGCACTTATATGTGTATTAAAAGTCCATTTGTCCTCCAAGAAGGTTACATGGTCCATGCCTTAGTCACCTCCAGATTGGACTACTGTAATGCGCTCTACGTGGGGCTGCCCTTGAAAACGGCCCAGAAATTCCAACTGATCCAACGGGCGGCTGCCAGGTTGTTAACTGGTGCTCCTTACAGAGAGAGGTCAACCCTCCTGTTTAAGGAGCTCCATTGGCTGCTGTTCATTTTCCGGACCCAATTCAAGGTGCAGGTGCTTACCTACAAAGCCCTAAACAGTTTGGGACCCGCCTACCTGCGTGACCGCATCTCCGTATATGAACCCACACGATCTCTCCGATCATCTGGTGAGGCCCTGCTCATGATCCCACCTGCGTTGCAAGCGTGATTGGTGGGGACGAGGGACAGGGCCTTCTCCATGGTGGCCCGCTGACTCTGGAACTCTCTCCCCAAGGACATCAGACAAGCCCCAACATTGGCAGTCTTTAGGAAGAGCTTGAAGAGGTGGTTGTTCCAGTGTGCCTTCCCAGAATAGGAAACTCCTAGCATCATGTCCCAATTGCACTTTACTAGAGATTAAGATTGTCTGCACACCGCACTTATCTCCAAAAACCTATCCATCTTACCTGTCATGTTCAGCATTTTAAAATTTTAATCATTACATTTGGCCCGGCCTTAGTTTTAAATGTGTCATTGTGTTATTGTCTAATGTTTATTGCTATTGTTTTAATGTTTATTGCTTTTTTATGAGTTTATTTATTGTTGTATTTGTTATGCTGTTGTTTTATTGATGTGTTGGGCCTTGGCCTCTTGTAAGCCGCACCGAGTCCTTCGGGAGATGTTAGCAGGGTATAAATAAAGGATTATTATTATTATTATTATTATTATTATTATTATTATTATTATATGTGATTTAATCCTTGAGCATCGCCTCCAGACACAAGAGAAGGGAAAAGGAGAAAGCCTTGACCTTTGTCTGTGTTGTATGTCATTGTTCACTGTGTGTAAAAGGCACTGAAGTTTTGCCTCTTGTGTGTATATTGTAATCTGCTTTGAGTCCCTCTGGAAAGATAAAGTGGAATATAAATAAAGTGTATTTTTGTTATTATTAAAAAAAGGCTGAATATCTTGCAAAAATACAAATATGGTATACAAATATGGTAAATAAGAGACCCGGTGGCGCAGTGGGTTAAACCCCTGTGCCGGCAGGACTGAAGACCGACAGGTCGCAGGTTCGAATCCGGGGAGAGGCAGATGAGCTCCCTCTATCAGCTCCAGCTCCTCATACAGGGACATGAGAGAAGCCTCCCACAAAGATGATAAAAACATCAAAAATCATCCGAGCGTCCCCTGGGCAACATCCTTGCAGACGGCCAATTCTGTCACACCAGAAGCGACTTGCAGTTTCTCAAGTCACTCCTGACATGACAAAAAATAAACAAACAAATAAATAAATAAATCTTGCAAAAATACAGCTGGGATAATTCCATAACATTGAGCCACAAAAGTGATGCCAACTGCATTCATTCTACAATATATATCAGGCATGGGAAAATGTCAGCCCTCCAGGTATTCTGAATTTCAACTCCCACAATTCCCAAGAGCTGGTAAGTCCAAAACACCTGGCGGGCAGAAGTTTGCCCATGTCAGGAATAGATGCACCCACAGTTCACTTGGTTTTGTGTATTGTCGAAGGCTTTCATGGCCGGAATCACTGGGTTGTTGTAGGTTTCTCGGGTAGACCTCACTACCTCTGAGGATGCTTGCCATAGATGCAGGCAAAACGTCAGGAGAGAATGCCTCTAGACCATGGCCATATAGCCCGAAAAAACCTACAACAACTCACTTGGTTTTATTTCCAAGCACACATTCTAATGAAAAATCAAATTAATGAGTGAGAATTAAATAATATTATTTTCCATCAAATTTTAGGGTCAGCTTAATGCATTTTCTCACCAGCTGTTTGTGACATTTCTGGTGGAACAGACCATTTACTGGTCTTTTTCTTGCCTCCTTTAGTGGCTGCATCGACGGCAAATTCCACAGCTGGGGCAGCCATGAATTCTTTGACTTCTCTGGGGACTCTCCAAGGACTGGCAGGAGCCACTGTTGGATTGAATAATATTAATGCACTAGCAGGTACCGTAAACAGTGAGTATTTATTGCTGTGGTGGACACTCCAGCAATTTCCCTGTAATCACCGTAGGAACACTAACCGCTATAATATAGTGAATGTTATTGTAAAAAAAAAAAGCACACGTACAAAAATATTTGTTAAAATTGTCATAAAAGACCTGAACAGGTCATTTTTTTTCAAAGGTTCATAATGCCTTCAAACACAAATGCTAATATTTCTGTACCTTTTTGTGCAATCTGTACATTTTGTTAGGCCTTACTTGGGTAGATTGATTGATTCTCAAGAACATCCCAAGCATTGTCTTCTGGTTCAAGAGTTCATGAAAGCAGATATAGTTTTATGTTGATGAGATACTAAGAAGGGCTCCTGCTTTTGCTACTGTTAGTAGTAACTAGCAGTAGTAGCTAGTAGTGGGTGCTATTAGTGGTAACAATAGCAACAGCAGCATTCTATTACAATAAACATTTGATTAGTGAAGGATATATGAAAAATGCCCCTGTAAGTGCTGGTAGTCTTATTTATAGTTTTCAGTAAACAATTACATAAGATGTTACATGTGAAATACGAAACATTTCTTGTTCCTGGAAGCCATGGACATGCACTGGGTGTTTGAGAAATAATCCCACAATAATTTTTTTGTGTTACAATGAGGTTAAAATATAGCGCATGACAGAGATAGCTCTGCCACTATACCTATGATTATCTTCCCAGTCTCGCCAGAATAATATTTGTTGTAGTAGTATTAGTAATGTATACCATCTTTACTCCAAAATTGGTACATAAGGTGGCCAGCAGAAGTGATGAGTGCTATTTTAGATCAAACCAAATATACAGGCATACATGTTATTGATATCTATAAATAAATTAGACTTAATGAATGAATTTGATTGGACTGGGTGTTGACACAATAGCCAGCATGGTTTAGTTTGAGCATTGGACTAGGGATGAAATCCTTTTCTAGCTATGGAAACCCACTGAGTGACCTTGGGGAAATCACACTCACTAAACCTCAGAGGAAGACTAAGGCATACTCCCTCTTAATGCATCTTGTCTAGAGATATCTATGGTAGGGTATGCCTTAGGGTCACCGTATGTTGCCAATGACTTCAAGGTACATATCAACCATGTGTGTTGACTCAACATTCAATGGTTGACCCCATAAGATCTATTCTAGTTGGGAACAACTGATGGTATTCTGGTCATAGTATGTTGGAAGTAAAAACTGGAAGTCACTGTAAGCAGAGGTTTGGAGCATAGCAAGAATATTCCCAGAAAGCCAAAACAGTGAGTTACTTTACATAACATAGGAGGTAAAAACAATATCAAACACACAATATAACCAATACAAAATTAATTTCTGCTCCCATAATATAAGTCCTAGGAGAGAGATGAGCAACTGCTGAGGATGTGGGTGCCAGTTTTTGTCCCTGTATCTTCTACAGAAGACTACCTCAGCATACTCAAGTGAAAGAGATGTCACTTCAGAGCCAGTTTTGATTTTGTCAATGTTCAAAGTTTTTTCTGGCAAGGAGGGGGTACACTGGAATATCAGAAAAGCCTTACGTTTAGTTTTGGTTTTCTGTATTTGGGCAAAGTGCCTAAGTGGCTATCAGTTCCATGGTGTATTTGGTGCTGGTGGGATTAATACTGTCTGAAATATTGTTTTAAGAATTGGCTGATCACCAGAAACATATTTTGTCAGATGCATGAAGTAGGCTACGTTGGTAGTAAAGTATATACAGACGTGAAAGGCAACATTAAAAACTGCATTTCTAACGAAGGTTCCCAAAAATGTTCTCTCATTGTATTCACATGTGATTGTGTAGTATCTATGTTTAATTTAATGTCAATAGTCTGAGTCTCGTTTTGTGTTCCATGACTGAGAAAAAATATGTGTTCCCTTTCAATATAGTTCTCATCCTATTTGCTGGTTTTTACCCCACATCTTCTGTGGAACCTCAATTCACGTGTCTATATACCTACCAACTTCTCAGTTTGTTTCATGCCTCTGATTTAAGATGTTGGCAATGAAAAGCTTTGCCAAGAATTTAAGAGTTACTTCATCCTTGCCCTTGCAAATGAGAAACAAATGTGTGTGGATATTGGTTCATACTTTACATTATTTGTTGCATCACGGATATGGAGGGCATGTGATCCTAAGGCCCCTTTTCCTCCCTTTATCTTACGCATAATCCTAAAATAAATAGAACAGCACTGATTGAAATCAGTGAGATTTAAGGTAATCCTGACTCATGCAAGTGAGGGTGCTTTTAATGGCTCTACTCAAAGAAGGATCCAAGTGTGGTTCAAATCTATTATTGAAAAATTATGCTGAGCATTTAAGACTGTCACATAGCCTTGGGGCTCAACTCTGTGTAAACATGCATGAACAATCCCTCCCATGGTTGCTTTTATTAATGCAGGGATTAAATCTTGAAAGAGAAAGGTTATTTCTTCCCAGGTCTGCCTGTCTGGAAGGCCATTTTTGATCATTTTCTCCCAAAAGTTGCTTTCTCCACAAGATACATTTTTCAAATACTACTCAATGGAAAATTGCTAGAGTTTAGGAGAACTTGGGAAACAATATGAAGTTGAAAAGCAACTGGAGAGAAAATGTGAATCCTTCCCCTTTCCCTCTTTCCTGCTGTTTCTCCACTCCACACTATCCTCTCCCAAGGAGGTGGCTATTCTTTCACAAAAGAAGTTGGTTGTGTATCTTTGTGTTTAAGACATTGCAGAGGTCTTGAAGCTACTTCATGCTATCAAAAAGTGGCTTGTTCTTCCAGGTAACTGTACAGAACAGGGCAGGGTAAGGACTTTATTTACAATCCTATCCTGTTATAGGATTAGTAGTGATGTTTATTTTCGCTGCCACCAATTAAGATTACTTCCACAGGCTACCTCCTTTTATGTGATGTTTGTATGTGAGGCACATGGAGACATTTATTTGGTTCAAACAGAGAAAGATGTTTATTTAAACAGGCACAGAACCTTAATGGTTACACTAGTAAAGTGTCCCGTTGCTACTTCGCGGTTCGCTTTTCGCGGACTCGCTGTTTTGAAGGTTTTTGCCTCTTGGCAATGATGGAGTGTGGAAGGGGGATTCACCCTGTTCTCTTCGGTCCTCATTAAAAAACCCAGGTGGAGAGATATCACAGCTAGTGATATCACGGCTAACTTCCAAAACATTTTCCTCCAGCTGTTGAGTTTCGTTTTCATAGCTGCTGACCTCTGCATCAACAACAGATTCCACACTGTCAGGGTCAGGGAGAGCTTGCTCAGTTGGAAAAACTGACAGAGAATCCGGTTCACACAGATCAGGATCAGGCTGAACCCCAACAGCCACAGCAAAACATGGCTGGAGACAGCTAGTGTGTGTGTGTGTGTGTGTGTGTGTGTGTATGTGTGTGTGTGTGTGTGTATATATATATATATATATATATATATATATCGTCCCTACTTCACAGATTTCCACTTTTCGCGGGTAGTCCTGGAACGTAACATCCGCGATAAGTGAGGGAACACTGTAGTTCAAATCTTGAATTGCAGAGTCCACACTAGAACTTTAAAACAGGACATATTTAGACTTGCTGCTTAAAAATCCCTTAAACTAAACAGCCCACTCCCAGGGTCTGTTTAAAAAATAGCTCCTTCATGAGGTAACTATTTAAAGCTTACCCTCAATGTATTGTTGAAGGCTTTCATGGCCGTAATCACTGGGTTGTTGTAGGTTTTTTCGGACTGTATGGCTATGGTCTAGAGGCATTCTCTCCTGACGTTTCACCTGCATCTATGGCAAGCATCCTCAGAGGTAGTGAGGTCCACTTTTGTGGGAGCTAGGGATGCAAGATCCCCACAAATTTTGAAAAAGCACAAATTAAAATAGTGTGTTTTTTAATCTCTCTCAAAATCTTTAGGTCTTCCAGGTTTACTCTGTGGTCAACCTCAGTTAGACATTGACCACAGAATTGTGTTGGAGGGCCTAGAGATTCCTTGGAATCTCTAGGTCCTCTAGCGTACCCCTATGGTCAACCTTTGACAGAAGTTGATCATAGAGTCACCCTGAAGGATCTAGAGATCCCTAGAGAGAGCATAATAAACAAATCCACAAATAATTAAATCTCCAAAAGTTATTCCTGCAAACATGGAAGGCTGACTATAATGTGTGCCTCAATAGAACATTCAGCCAAACTCTAATTCTTGGATTCTATTCTTGTAGCAAATTAGACTGAACATGTCTCGTGGATTAATACTATGTTGTTCTTCTCTGCAGTGGAGAAACAAGCCACTTTTTGATAATCTGTTGAGTTGCTCTGGCCAGTGCAGTACCGACTATGCCTGCAGGCAAGCAGAACAGTCTTCATTATTCTTTGCCATTGAACTTGACAGCGATCAAAGCTCTTAACCAGCAGAAAGCAAAACTGCCACTTTTATCCAAAGACTAAAGTTAGGGGTGATTTGGTTGATTTTCCCATTCCCTTCATAACTTCTAGCTGCTGTTGTCCCTTGCATTTCTTCCTTCAATGCAAGGAAAGTATCCGGTCATCACAAGTCTTTATAATCTATCACGGTGTATCCAGAGGAATGGATGTCCTCCTCAGTATAACTTGCTTGCTTCAGTTCTCTGCATGATAGTTTTCTTGCCTTTGTTATCTGTCCCTCTGTCCCTGTATTGTTTTGTTTTGTCTCGTCTTGTAAACCTCATGTTGTGAAGACTTTGGAGAAGGGTAGAAACGACCTACTGTGTGTCTCAGAAAAAAATAATGGGAAGTTGAATGGATCTTTGTATAGAAAGATTTGACTTCTGGCAAAGAAGGGCTCCAAAGATTTTTCACAAAATTGCAAGTGTCAAAACTCCAACCACGGTATAGCAGAAGTAATGAAAAATAGCGCATTTTAATGTTTTTTCTTGCTTCTTTGCTTCAGTTGTTATTTTACAAATGATTTTCACCGTGCTTGAGTTATCTGTAGTTGAACATCAACATCTAAGCACCTTGAGGCACCCACAATATGGGGGTTGCCCTACTAAATGAACCCATCATTGTGATGACAGTTGCCATGGGTCCACTGGGTTTGAAACACCAAAGTTTCTACACAGGGGATAGTAAAAAATAAATGAAATGGTGGGTGAGATCCAACCAATGAATCCCAGCATTTCTGTCTATTAGTTTAGGGGGCAATATACTAGAGGACCCCTCAATCCTGAAACTTCCAAATTCACTTATGGTGGAAATCTACCCTCTTCTCCCCCCAAAACTCTGGGGATTGTAGTTTGTAAAAAATTCTGTGATAAAATATTTGTGGACATCTTTCGCTTAATTACATTTCCCATGGTTTCCTAGGGAGAGGCAAGTACTATTGACATATGAATGAATGAATTTCCTTGTTATGGTCACAGACCAAGAGTATTAAACTTTAAAACTTCACGACATTAAGAAAAAAACATACAGTGCTCAGGTATCATGAAAAAGACTAGCAAATTTGCCTTTCCTCATTTGATTAAGTATTTTGAGCAACAAATGTTACAGAAAGCATGTGTCCATTTTATGGCATCCTCTTTCATTGTTAGCTATAAATAATGAGAGAGACGGAAAGTTCAATTTTGTCTGGGAAGCCTAGTTGAAATAAAATTGAAGTTCAATTGCTGGGTTTCTCACCAACAAAGGCTTTGAAACCCTTAAATGTTCCATGTTGGAATACATGCTTTCTCTACCTCATAGGATCTCATTTCCTTCTGTCTCTTCATCCCTAACCTTCCCAGTTGCATGTGGAACTCAAAATCTGGGCCACTGTAGGCCGAGGACGACAATATACCTCCCAGAACAACAGAGGCTGGGGAATGGTAAGGCTTTGACAGATGAGGTCAAACTTACGCTTTAGGAAGACATGCATAGAGACATTGGAGAATGCCACGTTGATTATGGATCTCAGTGCTTCATTTGCTACTGTAGCCAAATCCATTTTTAGGAGATTAAATCCAGATTAGCTGTTATGCATCTACAGTCACCCCTCTGTATTTGTGGCTCTGGCTTTTTCAGATTTTATTATTCACAGACTTGATTAAAACATTATCTTCTAGGTCCCTTGGTGTGATTCTATGGTCAACTTACTCTGATCATGCTAGAGGGCCCAAAACTTTTAGAGAGAATACCTCTCTAGTAATCTCTAGGTTCTCCCGCTCAATGTGGTGGTCAACTTCCAGCAGAAGGTGACCACAGAATCATGCTGGAAGACCTAGACATTCTTAGAGATATGTTCTCTCAGATTTTAAAAAATAGCAATTTTGTTGTGTATGGTTTTTTACTTTCACTGTGGACCTGTGCCCCAACCCCAGCAAATGTAGAAGGTTGACTGTATCTGAAGTGTATCTGAAGACTTGGAGAAGTCAAGAGTGGGAACATAACTGCCGATATTGCACTTTGTCCCTATATGAATGAGAAAGAAATGCTTCTGACTGCTACATATCATTTCTCTAGAGATAAACTTCTAGTTGCTTTACAGATTCCTCGAGTCACCACTTCTAAATGTTCTCTAATTAGCTCTTGTAAAGTTGTTGCTTTTTAATTAATCGCTCCCACAAGACAGTGGGCACAAAATATGTTCTTTTTCCTTACTTGTTCCCTCTTGTTTGCATTATGTGTTAGTATTGTCAAGTACAGCAGCATTTCTTTTCCAACCCACACCTACCCCATGAATATCAGACATTTTTTGGAATATCCTATCTCTACCATGTGATAATACTGTCTAAATTATACTTATTTTAAAAATTATAATGTATACACTGAAATACTCTTAATTGGTAAAGACTATGGTAGATACAAAAGAAAACTCTTGCCAGGATGTCCTAACTGTCATATAATTGTAAAAATTCACTGTCCTAGATCATGTGTTGTTTAGTCAATACAAGAGGAGAAATATTAGGTCATCTTATTTCATTTCTGTCTGTTAGGGCTGGTCCCAAATGTTTGTTGTCAGCCACCAGTCTTGTTTTAAATTAGTTTTGTAATTGTTCTCATTCTTTATTTTTTCAAAAGTGGGAAGGAAGGAGAGAGATAGAAACATATCTTAACATTTCCCCCCTAGGTATTTTCTTGAACAACCTTTGAATTATTGCCCCTAGCATCACTTCCAATGAAGCTGTCACTAGATAACATTCAGAAGCCTTGGTGAATATGTGAAGCTGCCTTGTAGTGGGCCAGATGCCTGGTTTATCTAGTCTTTTATGGTCTCTCCATTCAGCAAGAGGGAGGCCTTTCCTTGGGACCTTTATAACTGGAAATGCTAACTTCTGTCCAGTCCAATTTCACTCACAGTCTGGTTTTTCCAACCTTCCATTGACTTTGTTCCATTCCTATATGGAAATGTGTCACTGCAGACAGATAACAGTCACTTCTAAAATGCTATTTTAGAGTCCACATGAAAATGTGTAGATTATGGTTCAAATTATTCTACTCTTTGGTGCACACTTTCCCCAATCTGTATATTGTTGTGTGCATATTGCTCTACTTAGGGCAAGATCGTGTGTTCCAGTTGGCATGCTGTGTCAAGTGAATTATTTGTACATTTGCATGTGAACTGAATACTTCCCTCACTTTTGTACCTTTTAAGAAGATAGCAGGAAGCTTCTTTATATAGAATCAGGCCATTCATCTCCATAAAAGAGCTGTGTTGACCCCAATTGACAATCCATTATAGATTTGCAATGATATTTCACAGCCTTCCTGTCTTGAGCTGCTTTAACAGGAGATCAATTGACTGAGTCTGCATGCTAGAATTGACTCAGAAGTCCTAGGGTGCATCTCCACTGCAGAATCCATGCAGATTGACACCACTTGAACTGCCATGGCTCAATGCTAGGAAACCCCAAGGTTGTAGTTTTACCAGGTCTTGAATCTTCTCCACCAAAGAGTGCTGATACCCCTCACCAAACTTCAAACCCCAGGACTCCATAGCTTTGAGCCATGGCTGTTAAAGAGATGCCTAATTCCATTAATTCAGTGCAGATGCATGCATATACATGTTATTCTTCCCACAATCCCAGATCTTGTCTATTAGAAGGCTTTATTCACGTGACCAAAAAGGTATGCTGAACTTTTAAACTGGGAAGCAAAGCATTACATTTTGTTTTTAATGTTTAATTAACCCCAAAATTAACCTATATAAAAGGCACAGTAACAGCCACTACCAGTGTGGATCCAATATGTCAAATCAGATATCTTAGACTTAGTTGAAGAATATATTATTTCATAAGCTAACACAAGTCTTCAGTAGATAGAACTTAAGTATGTACAATTAGACACATAGCACAAGCTAGAGAAAATATGATGATGAGCACATTGAGATTACAGTCAGGACATGTATCTCTCAAATGTCTCTGGCACAGAAATGTCCTTCTGATCACTGACCGCTCCCATTCTTTTAATTAGAGATCCCAAAGATTGAACCTTGAATCTTCTACATATAAAGTACATGCTCTACCGCTGTGTTGTGATCTTCCATAGCTAAACTTGGATCTCACTTCATTCTCAGATAGTTTTTCCATATTAGAAAAAATTCCTAAACCAGGGTAGGAAGAAGAAAGTTACACTAAGTGACAAGCTAGTTTTCAATTAAGTGGGATTTTGTCAGGTGTCTGATCAATCACAGATTTGCCACATTTGTAAGGACACAGCTGTAGGTTATGTTTTTTGTGATAGAGCTATCCAGCTTTCCTTAGTAGTGGCCAGGAGCATCTTGCATGTGAAGCTGAGTTGATGCTAAAAGTCATTCTTAACCAAAGTCTCTGTGTGCTCAGTTTTTTCTTCTTTTTGGTGTGATGTCGTTGCTGTTGCTGCTGTTGGTCTCTCCGTGCCATCTGGTGAAGTGTCCAGACTTTTGCATGAGCAACCATTGTCATTGGTGTCGTATTAATGCCAACTACGTCTGGAAAGCACTAATGAATAAGTGCAATTTCTTTTCTCTATTGTTGGGTTTTTTGTAAAGTTGCTCAAATGCTCTCAGGTATGGCCGCCCTGAACGGAGGACTTGGTGCGACAGGCTTGACGAATGGTACAGCTGGCACAATGGATGCCCTCACCCAAGCCTACTCAGGAATCCAGCAGTACGCCGCTGCGGCACTGCCGACGCTGTACAGTCAAAGTTTGTTACAACAACAAAGTGCTGCAGGCAGCCAGAAAGAAGGTAAGAGATTCAGTAATTCAGAAGTGAAAAGTAGAAGGGGAGGAGAAGTTCAATGCAAGGCCAACATCAACAGGCTTGAAATGGAGCCTCACTCTAAATTTATTATTTTGTCATGGCCATTAGTATCAATTAATAAAGTAAAGAAGTACACCCCACCTTCCACATTTGCAGTTTCTACTTTTGTGGATTTGATTATTCATGGATTTGATGGAAATGTTCTCTCTGTGAATCTCTGGATCCTCCAGTGCTATTCTGTGGTTAGCCTTTTGTGGGCACCGGCCACAGAGTCATGCTTGAGGACCTAAAAATTCCTGCAAAGGTTTTGTCTTGGATTTTCTAAAATTATTTTCTGAAAAAATCCACAGAGCATGCTTACTTGAGAAATGTATTTCTCATGTGGAAGGAGACTCCAGTCTGGGTTCCTCATATACTGCAAATGCGTCGCTTTTGTAGCTAGACGGTTATTGACAAGATCTGTTGTCATCCCCTTAGAGGGTTTTTTATTTAATTGTGGGTCTTGACAGGAAGCAAATAAATGATTGATTGCTTCTTGCTCAGTGCCACTAAAGCACAATAAACCCCAGTAAGTTAACACTGAGAATAAATTAGGACTAATTATACATGATAAGTGGAAGGTTTTCCCCACCACCCAGCCTCAATTCCTTCCTTTCTTTGCTCTTGAAGGAATTTTGAGTTCCCTGCTCTCAAAGGAGTTTTCTAGTTTTATTGGGGATATGGTTACTATTTGCATAATTTATAGCTAATTTTAGACTAGTGGATATACAGTAGGGTACTGTATATTGGTTTAAAAGAAGCAGTGGGCCATATAAATATCACAGAAGTCTTGTTGAGGCTATGCAAATGCAGTTAAATAATGTCAGGAAACTGGGGCTTCCTTTGCTTAAGCAGAAGGTAGTTCTGCATGCAAAAGTTACTCCTCCTTGCAGCTATGCCAGGGTTTCTTAAAACCAGCCATAGCTTTTTCAGGCTGCTTTGGGAAAGGGGTAAGGAAAACCCAATTACAGAAATGCTTCTCCAAATCTAACACAGTAAGTGCATTTGGTGGCAATCGGATTGCAAAAGCTAAACATTCATAAAGTTACAGTACAGGTTAAATATCCTTGATCCAAAATGCTTAGGACCAGAAGCGTTTTGGATTTTGAATACATATTTTCTGAATTTTGGAATACTTGTGTTTGCATATGTGTACATAATGCGATATCTTGTAGATGAGTCCCAAGTCTAAACAGAAAATTCATTTAGGTTTCATATATACTTTATTCACATAGCCTGAAGATAATTTTATACAATGTTTTGAAATAATACTGTGAAGGAATGTACATCAGACAGCAAAGGTGTACATCCCAGTCACAATTCTGAAATATTTCAGATGCTAGAATCTCAGATAAGAGATGTGCAACCTGTCATAAGAAGTGATATAGTAGTAAGAACCATAAATGACCTAACATGGTTATCTATACAATTCATGCAAGTAATCTGGTCTCTCTTTTCTTAAAGGTCCAGAAGGAGCAAACCTTTTCATTTATCACCTCCCGCAGGAGTTTGGAGACCAGGACATTCTGCAGATGTTCATGCCTTTTGGGAATGTTATTTCTGCAAAGGTCTTCATTGACAAACAGACCAATCTGAGCAAATGTTTTGGTATGTAGTGTTTAATACTAAAAGACAAGAGCAATACTTAAAATCAGATTGTTTTAATTCTCCTCCCCTTCCTACATACTGCCAAGTCAGGTGCAGAGTGTGAAGATATGCCATTTTCAAAATACCAGTTTGAATTCGTTGAGAATAATCATTTATCTGATATAATGCACAACAGAATCATTGTCATGTGTGCATTGGGTTTAGCTTCAACTAATATATCCAACCAGGATCAACCACCATATCTATATCTATCCTTTTTATGTCGCTGATAACTTTCATCTCTCTTCTGTAGCTCATATGAGCTTCTTCTTCCCAATAAGAAATATTTGTGCACTTGGCTTCTAAGTTAGTAATTGAAATTTTACATAATTATGGCATTATGCCTTCACAAGTAGATAAAGCAAAGGTACTATTCACTATCCAAGATTCATTGGCATAAATCAGTGGTTTCCACCCTTTGATCTGTGAACCACCATGCGGCAATGAAAACGACTGGTCTCGCAAAACAGGGATGTCAGGAGGGGAGAAGCTGACTACCCACAAAAGATTACTACAAACACATCAGCTCTAGATTATTAAATATGGTTTTCTGTGGGTGGGCAGATAGTGACTACTGGATGGCATATGTTTTGTAACAGCAACTGGAGCTGATGTAGTCTAGCCAATGCAATGAGTCCCTTTTGGGAGATAGGGTAGTATAGAAATATTATTATTATTATTATCATTTGAATCAGCACTCCTGTGCCGTCGCGCCTGGGGGCTATAACTCTTAGTGAAAGAGGCGTGGGCATGACATCTTTCCCCCAGGGGATTGCTACTTGCCCTCCTTTAGGAAACTGGAACTCTCAAAGACCCAAACACTGTAGATAACTCAACATAAGATTTATTGTTCACAAAGAGTTATCTCTTTAAGGCAATAAGCTGGAAGTTTCAAAAGGTGAAGGAAAATATACATCATAGTCTCTGTCTTGGGACCAAAGAGTTTGCAGCTGAGAAGCTTTTCCAAGTTTCCTCTTTCCTCAATGGCTGTGAATATCGGAATAATCACAACCCCAGTTCCAATGGCCTATATCTGAAGGGACAAGGCCTTCCTCTGGTGTCAAAATAACTGGTTTGAAGGTGCTTGAAACTTCCCAATGTCGTTCAGGTTGATCTGAACATGAAGCATAAGTCTCAAGGGTAAAAACCTCAAAATTGGTACTGAGAGGTAACTTAATCAGGGGCTTTTAGAGCCAAGTCTCTTACTCACATCCATCTGGTAGAAAATCTGATGGTGGAATGAAAAAAGGGAAGCACTCCCCTCCTCCAGGAAGAGGTGGAGCCAAACAATTGAGCTGAGAAAGCAATTCAACTGGTGCAAACAACATTGATTGACAGCTATAAATAACCAATCAATCCAACTATACATAGGCAGGGTAAAAAGGCAGGATTAAACATGATACAACAGTTTAAATCTTGCAACTAACAGTTCTACATATAGGTGGCGCCACTCACACCGTCACAACTCCAAATAACCAAACCAAATCTAAAGTTGACTAAAAACTTATTTGTAACCCTTTTGGTACTAATGTTGGAGAGTGGTCCCTGGGTCAAGCTTGGTTAATGGAAGTAAAGGGGGGGGGTCTCCTTGGTGGATGCTCCCAAACCTTGGAACTCCCTCCCTAGAAGAGGCCATGATGGCCTCATTTTTGCTTACCTTCCATCAAGAAGTCAAAACATTTTATGCCACATCTCTAAAGATATACTGGGGTGGGGTTTTACTATGTACGGTGCTGTTTTTAAGGTTTGTATACCTTTAATAAAATTTAATGTTTTTAATATTTAATTATTTTTTTATCATTTGTCAAATGGCTTCTTTCCCATTGTCCCTCCCCATTTGAGGTTTTGAGTTTTGCAGATTTGGATATCCATGAATTTGGTTTAAGTATTCTCTCTAGGAATATTTGACTTCTTCTGGTCATGCTGGGGGACTTAGAGATTTCTAGGGAGACCATCTCTCTGGGAATCTCTAGATCAGTGGTTCTCAAATTCTGATCCTCCAGATGTTTTGGTGTTCTGTCGCGTGCTGGGCCTGTAACAGCTGTACTTTTCTATAGGACGTATCCTTTAAGCCCAGCGGGAAGCCAGGGGCGCCTCAAAGAGAGGTTCTCAGGGATTTTTCTGAAGTGATGGTATTTAGAGTCTTTAATGATACAACAAAGTCTTTATTATGGAACAAACAACAAATGTTCAATGGTTCAAACAACACTTCAAGGCTTTCTTAGTCTAGTCCTCAATGGGCTGGTACCTGACTTTGATTAACTGTACTTTCTCTGTAGAAAAAAACCCCTTTTAACCTCTCCCAGGCTGATTACTATCTATGCCTCATCAGTGTGGGTCCTACTACCGATTCCAAATGTGTCTGGGTATTGAGTAGACCTAGCACCTGAGGCTTGTAGATATTTCAGCTGGAGTTCCGTGGATCTGTAGTGCTGTCCTCCCTCGGAGAATTCTTTGAAACTTCAGGGCTGTTTTCCCTCTGATTGCTATGAGGCTGAGAGGCTGTGAGCTCTCAGGCAGAGCCTTGGGACCTTTTCCCTGGATGCTATTTTTTCCTCTGGATGCTCTGTTTCCCTGGATGCTCCTTTTCCCTGGATGGTCCTGAGAAAAGAAGCTTTTCTACGGGACGAGCTGGTCTATGTCCTATAGTCTAGCTTCCTTGTATGAGACTGACCAAAAATGACTTCTTTCCCTCCCAAGGGGTGGAACCAAAGCTTAATTATGATGGACAGGAGGCCTGCCCTATTACTGCAAACAGATAACAGAAAGAAAATAAAGTTGGAGCTCCTGGTACAGCCGTACCAGCACATTTGGACTTCAGCTCCCACGGTTTCTATAAACTGGTAAACTGGCTGGGATTTCTGGCAGTTGAAGTCCAAAACACCTGGAGGAGCAGAGTTTGAGAAACACTGCTCTAGATCCTCAAGTGTGGTTTTGTACTCAACGTCCAGCAGAAGTCAACCATAAAATCATATAGTCCTAGAAATGTGTTATTTTGCATAAAAACATTATCAATTTCTTTATTTTCCTTGTGTTTTACTTTCACTGGAAACCTATGTCCCTAATCCCAGTGAGCATGGAAAGCTGGCTGTAGTTATACTTTTATTAATTACTTTATATAGTTTTAATTTGTATTGTTTTTCAAATATATATTTAGCTGCTTTGCATTCCACTGCTGGAGAAAAGGGAGGATATAAACAAATACAAAACATAATCAATGTACTTGCCTGGAAATGTATCACTGGATAAGAATAGGGCTATGAAGACCTTCCTGTTGTCTTTTCAATGAATTTTCTCGACTGGGTTTTATTGGTTGTTATTATGGCTTTATATTGCTCCTTCTCTGATTCTTCTTTTAAAGTAATTATGTTTTATTGCTTTACTGTCTTTGGTTAGCATTTGAAAACATATTTTTATCGATATTTTATTTCTTTGTTAGTCATCTCGGTTTTTTATCTGAAAGACAGGATATAAGCATATATACATAAATAATGAAATTGCCATTGCTTTAGGGAATGATGTATGACAGGAATGCCCTCAGGTTGGTTCCATTTGGGATATCTGAAGCATGAACTAGTGGGAAGCTTAGGGAATATCACCTCTTTTAACGGCTCATAAAAAAGAAGTTGTATGTCCAATCTATCTGAAAAATTGGCAGTTGCACCTCAAGGGAGCAATATGAAAATATGAAAAATAGGCCATTGGAACAGAAAACACCAGTGTTATAGACATAAGCAGACAGACTGAGTCTCCATTGTAATCAGTGCAGAAATGAATAGGAAGGGAGAGGTGAACAAAAGAGTAGCAAACAAAAGTGAAATGAAATGAGCTAACAATAGTAAACTGAAAAGAAAACTGTTTTATGCCAATATAGAGTACACTCTCCGCTAACCAGAACTTGAGCAAGCTGAACTTTCAAACAACCGGTGAAAATACTTTAAATATATTGTTGAAGGCTTTCATGGCCTTCGACAAGGTGTTGGCCTTCGATGAGGTGTTGTAGGTTTTTTTGGGCTATATGACCATGGTCTAGAGGCATTCTCTCCTGACGTTTCACCTGCATCTATGGCAAGCATCCTACCTCACTACCTCTGAGGATGCTTGCCATAGATGCAGCAAAACATCAGGAGAGAATGCCTCTAGAACATGGCCATACAGCCCAAAAAAACCTACAACACCCCATACGTTAAATACTTTAAATTAAAATTAAAATAAAATCAAGTTTAACTGCCATTTTACTACAATTGCATTATTTTATTCACGAAGCTGTTTTTATAATACAGTAAAACTTTGTTATTTACTTATTTACTGTATTTGTATAACACCTTTCTCAGCCCGTAGGTGACTCAAGGCGGTTAACAGTGTAAAATTCAATGCTTAAAATATCATAAATAATATAATTAAAAACATAACATATAGTAAAAACTAAACAAATCAATAAATATAAATGCATAGTGTCTCCTTGTTAAAAACGTGGTCCAGTCTCATTGTTGTCATTCCATTTTTCTATGTCAGTTACTCTGCATTTGGAAACGCTTGTTCAAAAAGCCACGTCTTGACTTTTTTCTGGAATGTTAAAAGGGAGGTGGCTGATCTAATATCTATAGAGAGGGCATTCAATAGCTGAGGGGCCACCACCGAGAAGGCTCCGGCTCTCATCTCCACCAAACGTACTTGTGAGGAAGGCAGTAATGAGAGCAGGGCCTCCCCAGATGATCTTAATGTCCTAGATCAGTGGTTCTCAACCTGTGGGTCCCCAGATGTTTTTGGCCTACAACTCCCAGAAATCCCAGCCAGTTTACCAGCTGTTAGGATTTCTGGGAGTTGAAGGCCAAAAACATCTGGGGACCCCAGGTTGAGAACCACTGTCCTAGATGGTTCGTAAGGGGAGATGCGTTCAGACATGTAATATTATTACGTTAAGTTATTTGTCCTAATTTGCCTTTAATTACTGTATTTCAATATTAGTATTAAATCACTGCAGAATTTATAGTATAGTATGGGGTACAATATTGGTTAAGCCTATTTTAATAGTAACTTTCAAGCAACCAGAAACTACATTTATCCAGCATCTACCAATTGAGAGTTTACTATATGTGCAAATCCTTATTCTCTATGCCAGGGGTCCTCAAACTTTTTAAACAGAGGGCCAGGTCACAGTCCCTCAAACTATTGGAGGGCCGGATTATAATTTGAAAGAAGCATGAATGAATTCCTCTGCACACTGCACATATTTTATTTGTAGTGCAAAAGACACTGAAAAACAATACAATAATTAAAATGAAGAACAATTTTACAAATATAAACTTATTAGTATTTCAATGAGAAGTATGGGCCTACTTTTGGCTGATGAGATGCGATTATTGTTGTTGTTGTATGCTTTCAAGTCATTTCAGACTTAGGTTTACCCGGAGCGAGGGCCGGGTAAATGACCTTGGAGAGCCGCATCCGGTCCCCGGGCCTTAGTTTGAGGACCCCTGCTCTATGCAATAAAAGAACACTGCAAATTATTATTTTTATTTTTCTTATTAAATATAATGAAAAAAATTAAATAGGGGTCATGGTGGCACAACGGGTTAAACTGTTGAACGGTTGAATCTGCTGACCTAAATTTTGGCAGTTCAAAGCCATGGGTTGAGGTGAGCTCCCACTATTAGCCCTAACTCCTGCCAACCAAGCAGTTCAAAAACATTCAAATATGAGTAGACCACTTCAGCAGGAAGGTAATAAAGGCACCCATGTAGCTATGCCAGCAACACAACCAGGAGGTGTCCATGGACAACAGGCTCCTTGGCTTGGAAATGGAGCCAAAGCACCTCCCCATGGCCAGTGTTGGGCACCACCTCCAGAAAGCCGGAGATGAAAGGGGAAGCCTTTACCTTTGTTCTGTGTATTTGTATGTCATTGTTATTCCACTGCATTAAGACACTTAATGTTTGCCTATCTGTGTATGTTGTAATCTGCTCTGTGTCCACTCGAAGAGATAGAGCAGAATATAAATAGAGTGTATTATTAAGTGTATTATTATTCAATCTAACGCTTTCCCTTCCTTTTTTGTTTTTACCCAACCCCAATTTTGTGTGTTGTAGGTTTTGTTAGCTACGACAATCCTGTCTCTGCACAAGCTGCTATACAGGCGATGAATGGCTTTCAGATTGGCATGAAACGCTTGAAAGTTCAACTGAAGCGCTCCAAAAATGACAGCAAACCTTACTGATCCTTACCCCCAGAAGCTTACTGCTATTAATTTAGATTTCTTAGGGTAAGTCCCTTGAGCGAACCCACCCTCCCTTTGTCGTGGTGGGGGGCCTTGAGAAAAAGACCGTAACAACAACACATTGCCGACCACCGCCAAAAGACCGCTGTTTTGACAAGACTGCTTCCATTTTCCCCAACAGCCAATAAAAGAAACTTGGCTACCCCAACCGAATAGGTACCAAATTACGTACTTTCGATATTCGTCTTCATTTTTTTTCTAAAAAGATTAATTGTCCTTCAAGAGAAAACCTGCACACGCCCCTGAAATAGTACTAACTGAAATTGTCAAGGAAACAAAATGGGGATAATGAAAGCAGTTGTACGTCTGGACCTAGACTTATCCAAATGGCACCAGCAATTTATAGGATATAATACAGTGGCCGTGGGCCAGGAAAGGAATTCATTAAGGAATGACACCAATCCTTTTTCATTCAGTTCGTTTCTTATTAAGGGGCTTGAATAATTTTTTTGTTCTTAGGGCTTCAGATTGACGTTATGTTATATTATCCTGTTAAACACTGGTCATCTTGATATATTTCACGTGTTGGTTTTGTTTTTTATTTCCAATTTATTTTTTATGTTCTTAGGAGGTTTCTTTTTTTAATTTTCAGAGCTAGTGTAAAAACAAAAAAAAGACAGATCTGTTTCTAAAGCTACAGGGTTTAAAATAAATCAAAAGAGCGACAATACTTGATGTTTCTTGAGAGATATACATTTAATAATAATAATAATGATAATAATAACGATAATAATAATAATAGATAACAAAAGAAAGCCACAGGCCTGTAAATTTTATTTGTAAAAAGCATTTCTATTTTTATACAAAAATTTTTACTGCCTCAGAAATAATGGAAGTTATTTATTGCCTATTGTTAACTTATTGGATAACTAAAGAGCAACTCTTTCCGCTAGCTAGATCCTTTTGAAGTAGTCTCGAGAGTATATGTGCCAAGAATGGGTGCTTTTTCACGGTTGAATCCTACATCTTTTATGGTTCATACTTTTATATCCTCCTGTTTGTAGTTTTGTCTGGTTGACTTTGTTTGTAATTTCCATTATCTAGTTTAAAGTTGAGTCGTCTTGGACTATCCTTTCTCTTTCCCGCTACCCTTCCCAACTCTCCCCTACACCGCAACGTTTTCCTTTTGTTCCATTTGTTGAAACCTTTCCCCTCTGTCCCTGATTTTTCCTCCCCAAACGAAACAGAAATCCATCTTCTCTAACTCCTTCTGGATGGATTCCTTTTTTGGGGTCCCCTCATTGTGCCGTTGTTGTCGACCAAGTGTACAGTTAATGCAAATTGCGCAAATGGCTGAGAGTCTAATGATGAAAGATTTGCATTAGTTTTTCTCCTGCACCCATTAAAGAAGTGATTTTTGTTTTCTGCTGCATAGATTCTCCGTAACTTTTTTTCCTCTTCCTTGTTTTTCCCTAGACATCTTCATGCCCGTTAGCTCATCGTTTGCCTAGCATGTCCCTGTGGCGTCTTAAAAAAAAAAAGTTTCATCGTCCCGTCATTGTTTCTGATGTCTTTCTGACCTCACATCATAATTTGGTTCTCCTACTGACCTTTGATCTTATAGTTTGAACCTTTTGAAATTTTGCATGTGACCTCATCTAGCTATACGAATTCTGGGAAGTCAATGTGAAAAGCATTGCTGCATTTATGCAAGGTTGAAATTTATTAGTAGTCAAATTAAGGATAGGATTATTAAACACACACACACACACACACACACACAACCTGTGGCAAAATGTTTTGTTAGGGCTTTTATTTGTTCCTTTTCCTTGTTTTATTATTTCGTTTCCTTTTTCGTTTTTTTGTGTTTTGAAAAAAATATATATAAAACAGACTTGAAAGTATTATACAGAGATTGGCATTCTGGCTGGTCACTGATGACAATAGCAATATGTGTCCAGAGGCACAGAATGTTGGTTTCTACCAGACTACTTCCAAAACAGTTTGAAATGAAGAACTGTCTGATTTTAAGTCTCTAGAGGTCTGTAATAGTTTTTACATTTTTCAGGCAGTGTAAAGTTTTTTGATAAGGCCATTTTAGGTGGCTCACTTTCTCATTAAGAATATATATATAGAACCACTTTTTTGTAGATTAGTATAACGAGAAAAAAAATAAAACGAAATAAAATAAATTTACCCTGTTTTAGGGCAAATGCTACCTATTTGTGTCACCTTTTGCTGAACTGACTCACAAGTTAGACAATCCATGAATTAATGCACATGAAAATTACCTATATTTTATACTGTTTCAATGTACAGGAGAAAGGTTACTGTAAGCTGTCGTTCCATTGGTGCTTCTGTGAATTCAGTTGTGGTTTCATCCTGGGTCCTTTGGTCTTTAAGTGTTCTGTGTTTATTAAACAAAAAGAGGTTTGAAATTGGTTTTTACTTGAACATCGACAACAGAACAAACGGGGAAAAAAACGAATTTCAAAAAACGAAAAAAAGACGTTTGCTTAAAATTTAAAAAAAAATAATAAGAAGGGTTTCATGTGAAAAATAAAAACTATTCCAGACTAAGTTCGTGTTGGCTTCCGTGACGCATTGGTGTCGATTTTTCTTTTCCAATCCTTATTGTGGACAATTTAGAAGTGTTTGTGTTCAGCAAAATGTGATCAGTTTTCCTTTTCTTTTAAAGACATCATAATAATAATAATAATAATTAAAAAGAAATCAATGGGAAAAAAATCTTAGTGCCAAACTCCAAAGGTACTTTTTTTCTTCTTCCTAGAGCTTCAGTGTGTTTCTTGTGTGAAGTAATTTGATAACATGGGTATTTTACTATGTGTTTTGTATAAATCCCTAATATTTAAAGGAAAAGAGGTTAAAACAGTTTGTTAACTTGCTATCCTGTGGTCTTGTTGCCTGAAATTGTTGTTGTTTGTTATTTCTCTTGGATGTTTTTTGTAAAACATTGTACAAGTGCCCATGTTTCACTTTTCTAACCACTCTGCACATCCGCGCTGTGAAAGCAAACCTCACAATGTAATTTCTTCATAATGTATGGAAACCTCTAAGGTGAGAAAGTTTTGAACTTTTAACCCTTTCCACCCAGAGCTGTCTTGAGTGTTAATACTTTTATACATTCACCATTTTGCTGTTTATTTTTATATATACATATATATATATCTATAGCTATAAATATATATATACTTAATTTTTGTGGTTTATTTAATACATGGTTGAAATCAGAAAAATGCACAGGGCCGACCTGAAGGACAAAAAAAAATATTTTACTGCTGTCTAAATTTCTTCTGTATCTATAACTTAAAAAAATATTTAAAATAGTAATTGTAGATCTCCTTTTTAGGTCTTTGGTTTTTTGGGTTTTTTTGTTGGTCTTTTCTTAAAAAGAGCTTTTAATATGCTGCTGGGAAAATGCTATTCAGTATTAATAAAATAAAATAATAATTCTTTAATTATGTATTGTACGACCACTCCTAGGTAGGAGAGGTAAACCCACGATTTGAAATCCATTAAGGAAAAAAAATATTTTTGTAACAAAATAAAATGAACTTTTGCTTAAAATCCAATGCACTAGAACTTCCTGGATGAAACTTTATTGTGCACTGCAGTTAAAACTATGTTTTATGGATGAGGTTTACACATGTCGTAATGCTTTGATGTGTTATCTGCCGTTACCTGTAATATATTGATCCAGCGCTAATAGATATTAAAAAGTAGGTGTGGCAATATCTTTTGTTAACCTGATTTCTGTTGATAAGGGAACATGCAGACTTTTGAATTGCAGCAAATTCATAGAAAGGCAAAGAAAAAAAAGGGAACACAGTTAGATACATAGCTTGGAGGCCAACAAGACAGGCGTAAACTAGACACCTTTCCTGGAGAAAGGGCTTCAATGTCCCAGTGAATGGACTATTTAAGCTAAGCAGCAGTAGACCCTGAACATCATCCTGGGGGAGCAAAGGCTTGCAAGATCTAGTGCAGTGGTTCTCAACCTGGGGTCCCCAGATGTTTTTGGCCTYCAACTCCCAGAAATCCCAGCCAGTTTGCCAGCTGTTAGGATTTCTGGGAGTTGAAGGCCAAAACATCTGGCYACCCCAGGTTGAAAACTACTGATCTAGTGTATATACTCATGTATAAGTCTAGACATTTTAGTCAAAAAACCAACTCCCCAAACCTGGTTGACTTATCCATTGGTCAATATAAATATTACTATTGCCAAAAAAAAGGAAGCCATCCCCTTCTCCAAGTAGAGTAACAAAAATGAGAGCTTTGTCCATCCCAGAAGAACCTAAAAGAACCACCAACCCACACGACTCTTTCTGCTGTGATGCTGCTTATGGGCTTTGTTTGAAAGCCTGGGTGGGAAAATGGTGGCAGTGGATCTTTGGTGCTTCCCCTCAAAGGGATACCGAGAMAATAGAAAGCATCAGTGCTTCGTTTAGGTCAGTGGTTCTCAAATTGTAGGTCCCCAGGTGTTTTGGCCTACAACTCCTAGAAATCCCAGCCAGTTTACCAGCTGTTAAGATTTCTGGGAGTTGAAGGCCAAAACATCTGGGACCACAGGTTGAGAACCACTGCTTTAGGTTCTTCTGGGACTGAATAACCTGTTATCTTTCACCACTCTACTCAAGGAAGCAGATGTTCCTTTTCTGAGAAGAGTTACCCTATATCAGTGGTTCTCAACCTGGGGTCCCCAGTTGTTTTTGGCCTTCAACTCCCAGAAATCCTAACAGCTGGTAAACTGGCTGGGATTTCTGGGAGTTGTAGGCCAAAAACATCTGGGGACCCCAGGTTGAGAACCACTGCCCTATATGCTCATATATAAGTCTAGCAACTTTAGTTAAAAGTCAACCCCAAAAACCCAAGTAGACTTATCCATGGGTCAATGTTAGTAGTGTTCCTTTATTCTTATATTTAAAAAATAATTTCTCTCAGTAGAGTGACAAAAAGCAAAGGTTCAGTCCATCCCAGGCGAACCAAACACATGCACTGACCCTCTCAAACCTTTCTGGCATTTTTGAATAGGTGAAATGGTGACCAGCAGCAACAAGCACCCTGAAGTGACATTGGTACTTTTCTCTCTTTGCGGAATGACCCCCAATTTATCAAATCACAGACTTTAATTTTAGTCCTACCTTCGGCCTATACATGAGCTTGAGTTACATTAATACTATATCCAAAATGGAATCATCCTCTTCTGTGAGTAGAGTGGCAAAAGGCCTTTCTGGATGGCATTGGCACTGACCAAGAGTGGTTGGCTCCAAGGCAGTAATGGCACCTACTTCTGCCTGAAGGACGACCCTCAACTGACCCATGGTTTCAGCTCTTGACCTATACATTAAGTCAACTTATGCATGAGTATATACAGTATCTGCAGGGCACAACAGACTCAGTAGAAATCACCCAGAGCAAGCAATATAGATGAAAAATTCAGTTTCATCTGAATGTAGCTAATTCCATTGAACTTCAGCAGTAGATCTGGAATTATTTTGACAACAGACCTCCACAAACATGCAGTTTATGTGATTCATTTTTTTTAATAAAGAAAATTGTGCCCTGGGCATTGAAAATCATGGTGTGGAAGGAAAGCTGCTCAAAGAAAGAAGTGCAAAGTGTCTTACTGGACAAATAAGCGCCACCGGGAATGTCTGCATAACACCCTTTCTAGATGTTTGGGTCAATGCAGTTGAGTGTTATTATGCTGTCATTTCGGAGACATGTTCTCAATGTGCCATAGGGTTGCAGTCATTTAAAAACACTGCCTTACTTACCCTTTTGATATTGGGCATACTGTTTGTGTTTGTCACCATTGCATTGGCTTTCCTTGCAGTGGATATAGAAAATGTGAAGGACAAATAACACTTTCCTATGTATCAGGGAATTGCCATTAATCAGGGTTTATCTAGCTTGTGTGCTTTAGTGTTTAGGGATCCACACCTGCAATTCATATATTTTAATATATTTGTCATGGAATTGGTGAGGTTGCAGAAGTAGATTACGACCACTTTGTGAAGCTGATATTTGATCTAGTTCGCTGAAACAACGAAAACAATACATTTATAGTCCATTTGGCACTGTTGTTCACTTAATCTATGGCAACAGATTTCCATTTGCTAGGCACTAGAAAGAGATTTTTGGCACAACTCAGAAACTCGCACGTTCCCTCAACAGAAAGTCATTTAATTTAAAGGTATCGCCTTATCTATTTCGTGTCTCTGATTCTCTGTTGTGACAATATTAAAGAGACAGGCCTTGAAACGTTTACCATGGGAAATGTGTTTTGCAAGGGACGGGTGGCAATTACACAGCCCACTTAGAGGTTTTTTGACTGCAACTCTCTCTTGATTCTACTATCTAGATCAGATGGGAATTATAGTCCAACAAGGCTGGGTGATTGCCACCCCTGACACAGAGGGATTCTATGAATCCTCTGTGTTTGCAAAACATATCTGAGAAAACAGAAGAGAGAAAGAAAGAGATAACCCTTCACTGCCTTTTCTAAAAGTTGGATTGGATAGCATTCTTACCCATAAACCAAATTTGGGCCATCTGTACTGGCAAGTAAAACCCTTTCCAAGCCAATACATTTCAGCAGCCTTTTATGCTTCTGATAAAAAGTCATTCCCCTGTGTCTATTCCTCTTTGGTTTCATTCAAAACACCTTCAAACTTCTTCCTTCCCCATAATCTCCCTCGTAAATTATCTTCATATCCCCTCCCTTGCTTTTAAAAGATTGCTTTCTAGAGAAGCCCTGGGGTGGAAAGGACTAGAATCCAAATGATGTAAAAATATAGATTTTTTTTTTTTAAAAAAAGGTTTCTTATAGCACACGCACTTACAGTATAGGTAAAATGCTCTGTATTACTCTCACATTTTTACTACTGCTGGGGCCTTCCTGAACCTTTTGAGGGCTATTTTGTACTTCTTGCAGCAATTCTTTTGCCTACAGAATTATTACATGCACAGATACATGATAGGAGACCATCATTATGGGTCCCCCCCCCCCCAAGACGTATTCTTGTTCATTGCTTAAATTTCCAAATAACTTTTTAAAAACCCGAATAGACCAGAAAATCCAACCTCAGCTCATGTGTGATGTAGGAGGACATCAACTGTTCTGCCTGCGTATATATAGCCTGCTTTGGAGCCCCATGTGAGCCCTCCAAAATAGCAGCAATGTGTGATAGATTACACCAAGTAGAGTTCAATCCTCCCTCCACATTTGCCGTTTTATTTTTGTGCATTTTATTATTCATGGATTGAACTAAAAATATTATCTCTGGGGATCTCTAGGTCCACCAGTGTGACTCTATAGTCCAGTGGTTCTCAACCTGTGGGTCCCCAGCTGTTCTAGTCTACAACTCCCAGAAATCCCTTCCAGTTTACAAGCTGTTAGGATTTTTGGAAGTTGAAGGCCAAAATATATGGGGATCCACAAGTTGAGAACCACTGCTATAGTCAACATTCTGCTATCATCCTGGAGAACCTCAAGATTTCTAGAGGTTTGTCTAATGCAATTTTGTAGTTGGCTTCTACCAAAAGTTGACCTTAGAGTTATGTTGGAAGACCTAGAAATTCCTTTATTTGTGTTTGTTTTTTGCTTTTTTGAGGGGTCCTGTGCCCCAAACCCAAGTGAATATGGATGGAGGACGAACTGTAATTCATGCCACCAGCTGGTGCTAAATTCCTTATTCTTGGAAACCCTGATTAATTGCACCACATATCCCTTTCTTCTTGTCCAACTTTGACTTTAAACAACCAAAAATAAATTGACCATCTCAGTCCATTTCCTTAGAGATAAGGTCAGGGATCCAAATAAGGGAGGTGCATATGGGGACATCAATAAAGCCGAGGCTTTGCCAGATAGCTGCCTTTCTCAGTTCACCCTGCTAAGTGGGTAGCTGACATGGCATTAGGAACCATCATTTGCAGATGGTTACAGTTCCACAAAATAGGGATTTTTTTTTACTAATGCACTGAACTTGCTTGCCTGCACAACTTAAAATAAAATTCAGATAGTTTATCATTCACTAATCTATGAAATATCAAATAGTAGGGGGTGGGGGAAAGCTGCAAGAATGCAAAGGGCTTAAAAACAGAGGAAGAGGAGGGAGAAAATAAACAAGGTGAATTTGTTTTTCAAAATTCAACTCCAAAAGCACAAAATGTAGTAGTAGATTCCCAACCAAATTCGCTCACGTCAATGAAATGGCCATTTTCAAAAGGAGTAACAAGTTCATCTTTCTTTCACCATAGGGGTTAATTATTCCTTGGCTTTTGCTACTCTCTGGAATCATTTCACGGTTTCTGTTCTGATTAACTTAAGTGCTAATTAACAAAAGAGAGGGATTTTTTAAAAATAAAACAAAAACCTGTAGTTTCATTATCTTTCTGATCAATGTCATAACAGTAACAACAACAAAATAACCCTGTGTACCTGGGCAGGGGTGGGAGTGGGGTATTTGTGGTGTGAGAAATTGTTGTTTGTAGATTAATAAGAATTCTCTTTTAGTTGAGAATGTCAAAAACATAGGACATGAGCCATTCATACTGTGGGTGGAAACTCCATGTGCAGAGGATTCCCATTGACTCGAGAGAGAGCTCTGTTTCACTCCCTATAGATCAGGTATGTGCAAACTTCAGCCCTCCAGGTGCTCTGGATTTCAACTCCCACAATTCCTAACAGCTGATTGTGGGAGCTGAAGTCTGTAAAATAAACCATGTGTAGTTCACATTGGACCAGACCACCCACTGCCTTGTCAGAGAAAGAGAATATGCCACACCGGTG